CTGTGGCTAGTAGCTGCCAACTGTTAACACGTTATTTCCCCCCCCCCCCCCAAACTATTATGTTATAGAAATGCTGCTGTAATTTTGTAGGACTTTATGTGGGATTCTTTATAGAAGTCAGTATTTCATTTTGTTCTTGGGTCAAAAGGCCATTGAAAAGATAAACTGTGATTTCAACTTAACAACAGAAAGCCCAGGAAAAAAAAGGCCAAAATTGTTTACTAAACTCTACCATTTATAAAGAATATTCAGCGTATTGTGCTTTTCTGATAACTTTCCAAGTTACATCTGATTGCTGAAGTCCTTCTTCTCAACTGTTTCTGCCAAAAGCCTTGGTCTGAGAAGTGTTTTGTCAGCTTCAATAAGAGAAGAATCCAGATGTATTTTCCTCATACAATTTCAGAAGAAAGGGAAAAGCCCCAGACAAAAATTAAAGATTTAGGGGTTCCTCCCCACCACCTCTTTCTTTCTTTGTTTCCCAGGCAAAAGTTATTAAACTTTTATAAGAGCTTCAGTTTCTGTTAACTGAGGGTAACACTGTAGTCTTCAGGATAAAGAAAGTGCTGCTACCAGAGGGTTTCCTCTGTATCAAGGAAGCTGTTGCTACTTATATTTCTTTTTGACTGTTAAAAGAAGTTCTTAAGTAGCACCCGTTCACCTTTCAAGTTTGTGATGGTAATTTTTACTTCAGAAGGAGAAAAGCTATTAAGGAAACATTTCCTCTGTGTCACAAGGTTAAGTATGTAAGAGCTTGCCATTATTTTTCTGGTTTTGGTGGAGTTTCAAACAGCCTGTTTGATTTCTGGCTTGTGTAGGCTCCTAAAGAGAGAAAAAGAGAAAGCTGCTGACTTAGAGGGTTGAAGTAGTCTGCTTTGACTGTTAGCTGATCATTGATGCTTCAGAGGGCAGAAAAAACATTAGCTGGATCCAACTTTCTTGTCCCTCAAGCATACAAATATCAGGATTGCAGAGGCTAAAAAAAAACCAAACCAAAGCCCAAACACAATACCCCAAAATAGACAAAAAAAAAAACCCAACCAACAACCAACCAACCAACCAAAAGAAATCCGAACCAAAACGCAAACCAAGAAATGCACAGAAAATACCAGGAAAGTAATGTAATTTACAGCATTTTGCTGTTCTTCCTGGGTTTCTTTGATGAGGTCTGTTGACTTTTTGAGTAGGTCCCAAACAAATGTGTCTCCATAATTAGTTTCTTCATTCTTTATTGTGTTTTCCATTAAATGTACATTTAAGGACTGAATCAACTGTGTTTTCAAACAAATTAACATTTGTACAACAAATACTTCAATGATTACAATTTATGTATATTGTAGAGTAAAGTTTCTGCTTAAAAACCAGGTAGAAGTTCCTCACAAGGAAGAGGAGGTACTTTACTAGCCAATTGGGGCCTCTTCTAATTTTGGAGGAATGGAACTGAATTTCATCTAAGTTTCTCCTCAATTTGTTATTGTAGAGCTGTCCTGTAATTAAATGTTTGTGTTTGAGGAACATAAAACCTTAACTAAAAAGATAAAGCCTCTCTCTTGTCAATGTGATGTGAAAAGTTTCCACTGTTGAGGATTACTCCCTTGTAAATGCAATATGTGAAAATTACTCTTCCTTGTATTTCTAAAAGCCTCTTTTTTATGGCCAGCTACCTATAGAAGCACTGGCCATTATGAAGAGATTCAGCACAAGCCCACACTGCAGAGCTTCTGGAGTTAGTGGGTTTACATGCCCCCCCACTGGGAACTGCTGTTTATGACTTGAGACCTGGCCTCACAAATGCTTGTGGTCAGCACCTACCTGATTGCTGAAAGTGGCGCTGTAGGATACTGCTCCCTCCTCTCTGTGGGAATTTGTAGGACAAAATCTCTCTCTTCAAATTACACTTAATGTGCTCTTAATCACCCTGTCAATGAAAAAGAGTGAACTAATCAGTAGTTATTTTGAAACTACTCTGTCCCTTGGCAGCTTTAAACATACAAAAAGAATTGAAGGTTTCCCTGAATTTTTCAGCAATGTCTGCCAAAGAGGTAAATTCTGCCAAGCAGCAACATCCCTATCATGTGTAAGGGTCTAGGCAGGATCTGGTCAATCAGAAACTCCCCAATCCATACTCTTTTGTCTCTAATCACAAGAGTAATTGTCAGAAAGTTGCAGTGAATGGCTCTGAACACCAGCTGGAACCTTGTTGTTTGGGGAAATAAAAGCAAAACAAAGTGAATTTGTATATCCTGGTTTGGGGCAGGAGGATGGTTTGGAAATGTGCATAGCCAAGAGTGCAAGTGTATCTGAAAATGGGCTGAGCTTTTCAAGTTTTAGTCTATGCAGTTATTGGAGAGATTGAGAAAGGTTTAAATTATAATGAAGTAGTATTTTCATGGGAAAAGAAGTAGTAGGTCCTAAATAGTGTTTTTGTAAGAATCAGCAGATGGAATCATGCTAGACATATGCCAATTAAAAAAGATCAGACATACATCACAACTGCTGCAATAAATCCAGTTTTCTGCCCTGAAATGTCCTGAAATACCCTGAAATGCCTTTGAACTAAGCTGAAGTACCTTTTTTTTAAGACTTTTTTGAAGACTAAGTTTAGCAAAGTATGTGTTAAGCTTTAGTCAAATGTAAATAATTGCACTAGGTCTAACAGTGATGCTTGCCCATAAAGCCATTTGATTAGACCTTCTGTGTGGCTGGCTCAGGATGGAGTGTGACTGCCTCCAAGGGGCCTGAGAGTGGAGTTGAGTTGAGTTGTGGTGTTAGGCAGACATGATTCTTAATGAACAGCATGTTTCCTATTAGATTTGAGTAAAATGTGAGTGGAAGATGGTGATGGGGCCCAGGATGGTATTGTGTATACGGAAATAACTAATCAAAGAGCATTCTGGGGAGGCTGAGCAGTATACGTATTGCACACTGTGCAGAAACAGTGTTAGTACAGCTACCAGGCTAATAACCTACTGTGAAAGCATCTTGAACATGATGGGAGATGGGAATATTGCAGCTTCACATTTGTGTAAGCTAATGAAGTCTCCAAAACAGGATGTTTCCCCATCAGCCGCTGATGATGAAGAGGGATCATACTGTTCTAGAGACTCCTTTCCCCTTACAAATGGTGGTAATTGAATGGCAGGCGGTTGGAAGATGCATAAGGAATTTTTACAGATTTATCTGTGAACCAGAGCATTTGCTCAGCTCCTCCTCTGGTTTTGTGTGCAGGCTGATCCAGAGTATACATATGACTTGCCTCCATAATAGGGCATAACCTCTGCTACCTCTTCACTGCTTGGGTTTGACTTCTGTGTCCATAGATCCAAATGTGTCAAGTATATCACTGAATGCTATTTATTTACAGTGCATTAGTTTTCATTCACAAAGCTGTGCTTGAGAAACAGACAGCATAAATGTAATAAAGGATCTTAGGGTGTCCACTGACGCAATTCAAATGCTTCTATGCTCGCATATAGTAGATACGATGCTGTGCAAACACCCATTGTTTTGTTTTCATAAAAATGTATTCTTGTGATCTGAGCTACTTGTTATTGTCTTCAGTGCTGATAGCACAGGGAAAAAAATGGCACATTTACTATAAATCAGCACATGGTGCTGGCTTTCTGCTGAGAGAAATACTGTTTATTAGAGCAGCAGTTGCCAGCAACTTACTGGCAACTTTTCTCATCTATTTAAGTGATAGATAGTAGCAGCCTTACTGCATGGCCAGATGCAACTTTGGTCGCATGCTGGTTTGTTCTTCCTGTATGCATAATGTGTGGTTTTAGCCACTAAGGAATGTGTTGTAGTCTTCTATAAAACATGAATTTCCCAATAGCTGACATGCAGTACCAAACCTTAGAAGAATTTACATACAAATTGTAGGGATTAAGCCCTTGTAAAAAGCGTGCTGACGCTTTGTACAGAGAAATCTGATTGTACTGTGAAAATACAAAGAGGCAAATATGTTATCTTGGATAATTCCCACCTAGTACTATTAGCAATGCACCAAATGAAGAGACTTCTTGTTCTGCATAAACAGGGCAGGGTCTAAACAGGAGAAAGCAGTTTTTTGTTGTTTTCGTTGGTCAGAAGATGACATTTGGCAATGCATTAAGAGCATAGCAAAACTGAGGACAGATTTTCTGTCCTAGCCCTGCACTTGGAGTGCAGGCCCAATATTTTAAACTATTCAAAGCTAGCTGCCCATCAGTGGAGTCCACATAAAGGTTTTGTCCTAGGAAGGTTTTGAAGCTGAACTAATGTTGGTCACTACCAAGTTGAAGAATATGTCACATACCTAATTTTCTGAAGAAAGCTAAAGCTGAGTGATGAAAATTGGATCCTAGTCAAAGCTAAATTATACCCAAAAGTTTTTTCCAATAATTTTGGCCTGATCCTTCAGTGCAGTGAAAGGCTAGGCACAAGCTTGACCACAGGGCCCACCTGGGTGTCTTCTCATGTAAAACTTGGACCTAGTTGTGATTCTATTTCAAATCCTCATGGTGTCTTGGATTTTTTTGTGTGCCATTCCAATTCCTTGCTGGGAACACCTACACGTCAAGCATTCTCCGGATTAGTTATAACTGCGTTAGCAGGTGAGTGATGATTAGTTGTGAAGAACAGATTGCTGTATTCACTTGAGTCTTGCCCCAGTAGTCATTAATTATTCTAGTCCTTATTTTGCTTAGACAAGTAAGACAAGCTTAGACATAAGGGGTAGGTCTTCTAGTTTTCTGTCTTAGAGGCTTCCTGTTCCTTTGGCAGTGTATACTGAGGAATAGCATCTCTGCAGGTGTTCAGGTCAAAAGAGCTAGATTCTATATGACTTCCAGACTAAAAGTAGTAAGGTCCAGGCCTGCTCATACCTATGTTAGCAGTAACTAATAAGTGCAGGACAGATGTAAGTAATTATCTACCATTTACTCTATTGCCTTAGCATCCTTAGCAGAAACAAGAAAACAAAATCTTTTAGAAAATCTTATTTTCTTGTTTTAGCTAAAACAAGATAACTAAGAGCTTACAGCTCTTGACTGCAGCAGGTAGTAGTGTCATAAGAAAAAAGGCACAAAAATATGTACCAAACAAACCTACGATTTTGCTCAAATTATAATGAGTTAAAAAAAAAAGGAAGCTTGCTATTCTTCTCCCAAGCAGCTGCTGTGACTGGTAATTAGGAAAAGAAATGAAAAGCCATCAGTTCATTTCTACACTTGGCTTTTAATGCACCAGAGGAGAAGCAGACATACCAGAGCCTGTGAGAGGTTTCTTGCCTGATCTCCAAAAGGGCGGGTGAGTTCTCTGCTGAGCAAAGTAATGCTGCTTGTAATAACAGTGTGAACTTTGAAAATCTGTTGTGAATCTGCTCGTTTTCTCCTTAAGTTACCTAGTTTTGGGATACCTCCAAACCAAATAAACCTAAAGGGTAGTCTATTTGCCTTATTCTCCTTCATCCTGCAACACAGACATTAAAGCATCAGACATGCTTGACATTATGTGAGTTTACCTAAAACAAGATAAAACTTGAACTTGGTGATTTATAAGACTGAGTTTACAAGACTCTTCTGAGGGCCAGAATAATTCATAATCTCTTTAGCCATGAATGCAGACACACATACCCACTTCTGTTAGTCTGTACTGCTGAGAAGTGGTACAGATGCCTGTATATTGCAGCTCAAAGGATAGCATAATCTGTGGCCATCACTCCTATTTATTATTGTGTCTTGCTTTACCACTCCATGCAAAACAGTGGGTTCTGAAGGTATTTATGTGCCTGAATAAGACTGGGTTTATAGGCTTTCTGGAGGAATACCTCTGGCTTTGCAAGATTTCAGTAGAGGCTTTTTTGTGCAGTGTACTCACATCTGTATTTTTAACAATCTATTATCTGAAACATTTTCCATAACAGTTTGGGAGCTTTTTTTCCCCCTTCTCTTCTCTGAATAATCAAACAGCCCTCAGTTTATAAGCACTTGATGAGACTTCCCCCACTAATAGTTTGGAATTCTTTTCTACTTTACTAAATAGAAGAGCACGGAAAATATGCCATTGATTTTATGTAATTGTACTGCTTTAATTGCTGGTATGTGTGTGAAGGGGCAGAGTACAAAGAAAGAAAATTGTCTCAGAGACCTTACCTGCCGAGAGCTGTAAGGGTAACTGACAATAATGGTTTTTGTTGTCACTGATGTGTGTTGCCTCTTTCTCTCCCACTGCTGCAGGTGTAATTGCTAACTAGGCTTTGTAACTAGAGAGGAGGCTGGGGCACGTGCTACTTGTCTGGTTTTGCAGAGACACGTTCTAATGGCTTGGATAACTGAGGAGGGAATTAGGAGGGGTAGAAAGTCTTTGTAGACAGGGTGAAAAGTCATTAACAGGTTTTCTGTGAATTTTAATGGCCATGAAAAGAGAATCAGTTGTTCCATTCATATCAAAGTGAGCACTGCTGGCTGTCAGGTCTGCACTGGTCTCCTGGTTGTATAGGACTGGTCTTTATGGTTGATTCAGAAGGTTTGCCTTTAGATGAGCTAAAGGCTTGGACAAAACCGGTTATCGCAGTCATTATTTACATCCTGATGACTCTGTGGCATAGGTAAATGACTTCTGAACTGTGCGTTTTAAGAAAGCATCTATGCTAACTGGGGATTGCAGATTGTGCAGATTACAAGGTAAGTAAAATAATAGAAGTTCCTAAGCGCTGCCTGTAGCGTGCAAAGCTCTTTGGCAAAATTAATATCTGCACTGACCCACTTGGTCTTTATCTCTCCCAGTTTTCTTGAGTGACAGAATTGGCTGCCATCGGAGACAACTGTTATGTCCCTCTGCCATGTAACAGCAGCTCTTTTCTAGGAAGTGGGGAGACATACAAACGGCATGAACAGAAGTTCAGAAAGGGTCATTGTAAAAGCCAATATCTTTCAATTTTTGGATCCGCACAAAGGGAGCCTTTTGAAACCTGAGTTTTGTGTCCTTTGCCACCTCTTCTCAGTAAACAAAAAAATGCAAGCCTTCAAGACAACAATACTGAAAGAGACTGGAAGCAGATGCTTATTTACAATTATAGGCAGCTGGACAGGTAACAACATGTTAAGATTGAGTGTCCTTAACAGTGTGAAGTCCTGCATTCACTAGACACTTGTATAAAGTTTTCTCAGTAGCACTATTAAATTTTGGGAGGACTGAGTCCAGTCCCATTTACAGATGTGAGGTATGTGGGTGGAAATTGCTGCACATGGACTGCAGTGTGTTCTCCCGATTAGGCTAACAACATCTCTTTTTGCTTGCATAATGTTTGTTCGAGTCCCTTGATAAATGCTTGTTTGGTCAATATTCCACTCCTGTAAGAGGATGAGGTGAAGGAGATGAGCTAGCAAATGACAAGCATTAAAATGCTTGAGTTATGTAAAACAGAATTAACTGAGAAAGTTAGTTTTTGAGTCTGCATCAAGAACGCACAACTCCCTGGAAACTAGAGTGTGGGATTTTCTGCTGGCTGTAGAAGTCCTCTGGGAGGAAGCTGCTACTAATGAACATTGTGTTTCTTATTAGCTATGGATTTTTTGTTTGGCACAATACTTTAGTTGTGCATCTTTTACAGTCTTCCAGTCAGCCAAATTATGATCACACCGAACTCCCAATTGTAAGCATTATAGAAACAGAGTAGTAGAAATGTGCATAGCTGCTGTATGCAGTGGATCAGGAAAAGATTTTGTTATTTGAAGTACTAGTTGAGGTACATAACTTTATGTAATCATAAAGAAAAGCCTTTGTGATAGGTGTAATCTCTTTCTTTGTATGCATTATACGCTTATATAACAGTAACTTTTCTGTAGGAAATAATTGAAAATATTTTGATTATATCAGCATGTTTATCTGCAAGAATGTATTATTCTATCCCTGCAGATTACATAATAAGTGACTTAAATTCAAGAAGATGGATTAATCTGGAAATTTGTGCAGATTAACACCATTACATGGATGACACAGTATTTTACGCTGTTACCTGTGACCCTCTTTCGCAACTCTGTGTTTGTTGTTCTTACTCCAGCCTGATTGTTGTGTTAGCAATTCTACAACAGGGGCAGAAATCAGTGATAGCTTCAAACTACTCCAAATACTGATGTGAATTATCAGAGTTACATATAGTACGATCCAAGTCCTGATTTCATTAAAGTTGATGGCAAAATTCCCATTGACTGCAGTGGAACCTGATTTCTGATTCCAAATAGGAAATGAGCTGTCCTAAGTGTGTGTACTATAAATATTCAAAGCAGCCTGAATAACTCAAATGGCACAGGATTGCAAATAAAATACCTCTTTAATATCTCTCAAAAAAAATTACTTGAGTAATATATACTTTCTAAAGAACATCAGTTGATGACTTCTCAGGAGCGCTTGGCATGTTTTCTTTCTGCTGTGTATTAGGTTAAATAACCTTGATGACAATCCAGTCACAATTCCTTGCAAATAAATGGCTTGAAAATACAAGGTATATTTAATCTCATTAAGAGTGACCACATGGGAAAAAAAATTAGCATCCCATGTAATGAAGCTGTCAGTGATGTCACATAGAGTGTGAATATTGTGAATCAATACAAGTTGTTCTGCTTGTCAGTGTTCAGGAAACCAGTATGTTAAAACCTGGCAATGAAATCTTAAAATACAGACAGAAATTAATTTCATTTTAAAACTGTTAATTTCCCTGTTTTATAGTAACTTGATTTAGCTAGATTTGTACCAAGCCTATTACAGCTGCAGAGGGGAGAGCTGTTGAACAGGGACACAGAGTGTCACAGATTAACACAAATAGGAACAAAACTGAAATTTCATTAAGGCATTTAAACTTCACACTGCCAAGAGTCAGTGGTAGATCTGTTCTACTTCTAGGTACCTGTATTGTGTACAGAGTAATTATCAGCTGAGCTGTTCACAGCTGTGTATAGTACTCAAATAAAAAAGACCCAGAAAAGTGACATCAAAGAAATTAATGTAAGTTTTGCAGCATTAACTTTTGTAGCTTTGTTACTGTGAAGTGAATTTCCTCTCTTAGTACCCTTTGGCTTCATAGCTTGTTCTTGAGCACAGTATGGCATGAATTTCAACAGCAAAAGGAAGGCCATGGTATTTGAGTTTAGCATAAATGAATTTCTCTGAGTCATAAAAAACCAAACTCACTTGAATGGTATCCTTGAAATAATTGTCCTTGGAGTAACTGAACAGAAATAGCAAGGTGAGATCAACAAATAAATACAATGATTCTTATAGATGCAGTCTTTTTTTTTTTTTTTAACCCCAAACCCCATATTTGTTTCTTGAATCTTGGACATATGAAAGAGGTGCTCCAACACAATGAGAGTATTATTCACAAATATAAAAGGAGTAGGAATCCCAAAGCTTTGAGAAATATAGCATAACTGATAAATGATATACATTTTTCCCAATGTCATGGGAACTTGTTTGAACATCTCCTTTAAAAAAGACATTTTTTTCTGTAGTACACAATGCCTCTGTTGTTTTGAGGGGGCTTTGAAGGGGCTGTGCTTTGTTTTGTTGGGATTTTTTTAATTGTGTTTTGGTTTGTTTTTTTTATACTTCTCTCCCACATGTTATAAATAGCTCTACTAATTGGGAAAGTCAAGAAGAGGAATGGAGGAAGATCTTAACAGGATTGTAGAATGCTGCTCTGGATGCTCTTGTAGCTAAATGCATGCTCAGACAACATTTCACATTACAAAACAGATAACCCAATTAAACTCATGTCCTCCTCAAGGGAGTTTCTGAGGGAAAATTAATTCATATGCCTCAGAGTAAAAAAAAAAAGATCATAACTGCCATGGGCTGAAGGCCTGGATACTTCTTGAAACAGGTTATTCCATGCTGAGCTGCTGGTTACTCAGTTTCTTGTACCTTTCTTCCACACCAGCTGCTGCTGAACACAATATTGATCCAGAGGTCTAAGTAATACAACAGTTCCAATATCCTTATTTCTTCATGGGCTGTATCTATCGATGGGATGTGTGACAGCAGGAATACTAGATGGCAATCTGCATGCTCTCCGTACAGGTGAACGTGCAGTTTGGAGTCCTGGCTCTAATTTAACACAGGCTCTGTCAGGAACCTCCAACCTGCTTTTCTCACGTCCACAAAACAGTGTGTTTCCAATCTTTATTCCACAGTGCATGGTTTTAAGGGGCCAGTGTTGAAATGACTGGGTTTCTCATGTGAAGTTGTTAGTTGTAACAGGAAGAGAAGTAATTTCTCTCTAACTTTCTTGATGACCACGAAAATACCTATAATTCCCTAGAGCTCCTGCGTTTCTCTGATTCAAAATAATTAGAAAAGAGATACACACCACAATGAACTCATTTATACACAGCCCACTTTTGGGAACTGGTTTATAACAGTCATTGGTTTAATAAATTCTGCCTCCTTGTAGCTGTTAGTTCCCAAGAGAACCTGACAAAAGCCAAAGTGTCAAAAGGAAAGTTAACACCTCACTGCCCATATCACTGCAACTGCTCCTAAAAATCAGGACAAGTGAGGATTCTTCTGCTAAATTTAGAATTTGTTTGCCACTTGGAGATTTGGTAAAAATCTCTGTTCCTCCGAGGCCCGCATCAGTCTGGTTCTGTAACAGCCACTGAGGTGGTTCTAAGAAACAAACCTGCAGTGCCCAGAAGAGCAGCGTGCAGAAATAAGAGCTTGGCACCCAAAAGCACCACACTGGTGTTAAGTAGCTGAGAACAGGGCCCCCACAGCAGGAGGGATACTCCCAGAATCAGCAGCTACTGCTTTGAGCTAGATTCTTCAGCATTCCTGTACTAGACCATGCATCCTCCAGACAGGCAAGCTCTAGGCTAGGAGGTGAGACCAATTATAGAGCCTTATGAAGTGGAAGCATCCCTGGACCTTCCCAGAGAAGGAACAGTCATCAACCTGCTCAAACACCATAGGGGAGGGGGCAGCTGCTGTCCAGAGATTCCAGATAAACATCACAGCAGATGCAGACAGCACATTCATTAGTGCAAGCTAGTGCCTGGAGGTATTCCTACAAGAACTTCACTTTATATTGCTTAAACAAGCTAAATTATAGTTAGACTAGATACATTACATGTGTTGCTGCAGTTTGATCAGTGCTCTGTAAGGTCAGAGCTGTGACAATTCAGACCAAAACAGGGATCAAGCATTTCTACTTTGGCTCTTAATCCATTTGATGCAAGTCCTTTAGCTAATAAGAGCATGATTGCAAGCATCCTCGTTTTGTAAGGGATTATGATTAGCTGATGGCATGTTTTTCTTCAGATATGCTGCCATCTGAGAATAAATAGGCCATAAGTGTGAATAAATAGGCCATAAGTGTCTTTTCATTAAGAAAAATCCAATCTAAACTTACTCTTGATGCTGTGCTGTCTTCATTTACACATGAGACTGCAGCACACCTTCAGCCCAAGGCATCCTTTGCTTTATAAGTAGCATGCCATCTCATGATTTGAATATGAGTTAGATGATTTACTATATGCTCTTCCCATGTAAGCAAGCAGCTGCTCTGCTGCTGCTGCTCTGAGAGACAGGGGAGGGAACATTACAGATGGATATGAGATGAAAAGCATATAGTTTAGGTTCAACAATACTGAAACATACATAGTGCTGTATGCAGTGCTCTTTTCCGTTTAACCGCATGCCTGGCTACAGATGTGTACATTTTAAAAGGTATGTAAAATGACAACCAGGGGGAGGAAAAAAAAGTATTCCTCTTTAAAAATCAGAGACCAGTTTGTCTAAACCATGTAGCCTACTATTCAGCCCTCCGCACTAAGCAGTTAGACAGTACCACTGTGTGGGTAGGTAGGAGACTCTTACAGTACACCTGAAACACTTTCTGGAACCAACAGCTCATGATAGCTGGTAAAATTACTCACCATCCAAGTCTGGTTAGTCTGTATGTTGTGCTAAGGATGCTGTTTCCCAGTGAATGGAATACTTGTGATGCCCATTAGGGATTCATCATGACAAGTGCTCCACAAGGAGATTTATAGAAATGTATATAACAGCTCATGCAGTGGCATTTAAGTTCATCAAAATGTACAGCTTTCTTCTAGTATGATCTAAAATTTCTGATTAACAAATTTACCTGCTACTTATCTGCCTTCTTTTGCACATAAGCAGCTGTGCTAGCTGCTATATGGCACTTGTATTGTACTGCTAATAGCAGCAAAGTAGCTGTCAAGCTATGCTTGACAAGTGACATCAGTTTGATAGCCAAAGTCATCACCTCCGTATTCTTAAAGTGCAGAAAGTGTTTTGAGAATCCTTAAGAGGAAAGCAGGCTGGTATAGAGCAGCAAAGCTGCGAATGATTAACTCTTATCTAGTGATGAGGGCAGTGCTTTTTGTGAGTGTGTCTAGGTGTCAGCATGTGGAATCCCAAAGCAATGCAATCTCCCCTCTTGGACATTACTGTAACAACTGGAATTTGTCTATATATTGTAGTCACGTGAATTCAGTTACAGCCACTGCAGCAAAGAAGTGGTTAAACCAGCTCAAACTGTGCAGATTAAATTAAAGGTCTTGCTGCAGCAGACGAGTGCTACAACCCTAGCACCTCACCTGCATTGTGCTTACTGCATGGGCAGTTGCTTCTGCTGTACATAATGCAGCATGGCACTCAGATCTCAGCCCTGCTGCATAAACCGGCTATTTCTAAATTAACTGGAGCACGGTTGCTTGTCTTGAGCCACAGGACTACATTTGCTTCTGCTATTTTGGGGACCTGTGCTATATAGCACTGTACCACTCCAGCCTGTCTGGAGTTGCTTCAGTGATCTCAATGATGCATTGCAGCATGCAACTTTGGCCTTGGCTGTGCTTACAGCAACTGGTCAGGGTGGCCTTTAGGCCCAGACCCATCTACCAGCTGCATCTGAAAGCCTCAAACTTCAATTGCTCATTGTACACTGGCCCATCTCTTCAGAAGCCTTACTGAATATCACCATTTGGAGACAAGCCTGCTGGGAGAGTCTTTCAGTTATCTCAATGACTTTGTGCTTTCTCATTTGGTTCCCCTGCCATAGTAGAGAAATAATGGAATGTCTCAGCTGTAACATTCTCCCTCCCATGTTTTTACAGGCCTATTGAATATTTTTAGTTTTCAAGAAGCATCACCCTGGCATACAACACGAAGACTTGCCCATCAAAACTGAGCCCTAGTGATCATAACACAAATGCTGCTCCAAAACTGAAAATATTCATCATTCCTGCAAATAAAGGACTATTTACTAGCACTTTTATCTGAGCTCAGGCAAAACACTTGTAGAACAGCCCTTTGTTTGCCCCTCAAACTAAATGGCAAAATGTTACTGTGAGTCTACATTTTGTCATCTATAAATGCATAGTGAGCGCCTGTGGGGACAGGCATGGTCCCGATTCTGCAGCTTTTATTACAAGGAACTCTGCAATATCAACCTGTTTTCTCAAGTGCTCTTGCTTTTTAAACTGTGGATTTTAAAGTTACAATCCTAGGAGGATACAGAAGATACAGCATAGCAGTATGTGCAGTTTGTTGTAATACAAAGCAAGCAAGTGAGGAGAGTAGACAGATTAACAGACTAATTAACAGCAAATGAAAGTGTACCTGTAGCATAGGTGAAGAGCCACAGACCCTGTATCCTCACCACTCCCATCCCAATGCCAAGTGACTTTGTTTCAGGTACTTTGGAGAGGACACCTCAGTCAGATACATGGTCTGTAACACCACTAAGGCTCAGTCCCTGCCCTGTGAAGGTTAGTCTTTGCTCGTTTCCTCTCTCCCATGCAAGGGCATGGAAGGAAATCTGTTCCCTGTATTTCTGTCCTAGGCAGTTGGTGAATCTGGGAACAGGCCCAGATTTCCTAATGCCAAATACAGTGTTTTCTCTGCTGTGCCACAATTTGTGTGGTATGTGATGTGGACGGGCCTTCAGTTTACTTTGCAATCAGCTTAGTGTTAACTCTGCGCTTAACTCTGCAATCAACTTTTAGTGAGTGGAACGTGCTTGCTGAATTTATGTACTTGGTTATTTCAGCCTCCTGTAGATAGGTCTGTGTAATGAAAACCTTTACAGTGAAATTGTAATGGTTTAAAAAACCCCAGACAACAAACCAACCCTTTCATCAGCAGATCATTATCTCATTGCAGGCAGGTCATGCCAGGGTGTCGCTGGCCCAGAATCTAAAGAGCATCTAACCAGGAGAAGTCATTCTTCAAACACGAATCCCAGAATGAGCCATTGCGTTCTATAAGATCTATGAATTATTCATCAGCTCTGATTTAACATTCATCCTGCTGCTGAGGCTAAAGCCAGCCATATATTTGCTGGTATAAAAACCAATTTGCATTAGAGTGGATAATAATGCAAATTGTTATTTTATCCTTAACTGACAATATTATTACCATTATAACTTTACATACAGATAGAAATCGTATCACTTTGTACTTTGATGTCCCCTGAGACCAAATAGTCATTCTTGTAAAGTTGTGTTACGTATATATGTAAGTGTGTGTGTGTGATTTTATATGTATCTGCATAATCATACAGAGCAGAAACTCTACCTTTGGATTTTGAACAATACCAGAGAGGTAAAGTAAAAGGACTTGTACAAATAACAATATATTCAGGTAGGTAGTATTGCATTATACTTCTGGCTGTATGCTGGGCAATCCTTCATGTCTGCTTTTCTTTCTTTCTCCTTTCATTTTTCAGCATGACTTTTCCTTATGCAGTACACACTGTGCATTCATTATCTTCCTTTTTTCATCTGCAAACGTTAGAAATTATTTTCTTTGACTTTTTCCCTTTGTTTTTGCAGAGCAGTTGAATCCATTGACTTTGGAGGATAATAATCTGCAGTGGCCAGCTCTGTCTGGAATACTGAACCTATAAGTCAATTTAATAGACCGGTGGTATTAATTATTTCAGCATTTTTTCCTAGCCCAATGTTGCAGCTTTCATTTAATTAGATATTTTTTTTAGTCCCCTGTAATTATGTAGGACAGCAGCAACATGGGTTATGTAACCTACAGGACAAGTTCTTTTTACTTTCCAAGTAATTAGTGCTTTGTTTCTACAGTGTAAAGGGTCAAATTCTCACCCCCAGGGCCAGTAGGCTGACTACAGAAGGCCCTAAAGGCATTTCAGTTGCATTGCAGCTCCAAGTGCTGGTTCATCCCCTTGAATAGAGCTTTGCCAGTTTTGGCCTGTTTCATCATCTCGTGGGACCAAAGGGCAAAATTAACTCTCTGCAGTTTGCCCATCTGGACTGTGTTGCCTATATCCTCTTCCTTAGCTCCTCTGGAAAGCTTGTAGAAGTCCATGAAACAAAGGTCTGAAATAGAGCAAACCCTCACTAGAACCAGGTAGAGGTAAGGAAAAGTGTAATGTTGACCTTAAGAATCAATATATTTCATTTTAAAGCCAGCTGCAGTTTATCCAAGATCCCTAAACACATATGATGCAACTTTAAGAAGAAAATGATGGGCAAATGTGGTTGGCCAAAGTCTCCATTTTATGGAGCTGGTGAACAGGAATGGTGAGGGAGGGAGTCAGTCACAGCTATTCATTATGCGTTTCCCTTGTGTTCAAAGTAAAATTCTGCTTTTTGTAGCATTCACGCAGGTTTTGTTTTCTTTGACTTTGTGAGGCAAGTGTTGTGTGCACAATGTGCTGCAAAACAGAAACCCACCAGCACGCCAACGCGAAGGCAGCGTGAGCTATTGTCTGCCTGCTCGGTCCCACTGGGCTCTGGACACGCAAGCCAAAACAGCTTGCGCAGACATCTTTTTTTCTTGACACTGTTAATGTTCTGAGCTCAATCTGGTTTGCTCTTATTAGCCTAAGCCATCAGAGATACAAACATCGCTGTTCAGGTGCTGTCAGGAGCAGACGTTTCTCCTTGTGCATAAAGCAGGGACTTTCCTATAGAGAAATAGAAACGTTTCTAAGGAGGGCCACTTGTCATGAGGGCAGGAAGAATTACATGTACTGGCCCATGCTGCTTATTTTGATCTATTTTGTATGTTTGAAGTAGTAGAAAATCATTTTTAATCACTGGGGGTAGGAGATGATAGAGTTACGTCCCCTCTGTCACAGGTACAAGCTGCTTTAATCAGCAGAGGCCTTGCTCTCTACAATAGAATTAGCATTTACTGTTTGCATGTTCAGGCTTGCTTGCATGGGCGGGTTGTTTCTGTCACTGGATATTTTTGCAGGTCTGGATATGAGACTGGAGAGTAGTTTGCTGGCTCTTTTTAGCAGGTGTATTGAAAGCTGCTGTGTATACAGGACCTCCAAGGTCTGTTACAGGGCAAATCAGCTCCTTGGAGCTTTCACAGTCTGCCCATCCTAATGCAACCACTCCTGCTTCCCTTCACTTACCCCTCCTGTACTGAGCTATACTGTACTGAACTACAGAGCAGATATGAACTAGTAGCAACCCTGAGAGAAAGGCCACAAGTGTGAGGACAGAGACACTAGAAAAGGAGCAGGCAGGTAGCAGAAGTCTGCCAGGGACTTAACAGTTGCCAGAAGACAAAGGAATGCCCCCTATAATGATATGTGTTTCAGGACTGGGTCCTGTTTGAGCAGTGTACTTGTAGTTTACAGCTTGGAGGGACTGGCACTGGATATCCCTAGTGCCTATGCAAAATATCCAAATCCACATTTAGGATTTCTGAAGAGGGCTAGAAAATGGCGAAGATTTTTCTGGCTCATGCATGCATGAGACCTAAAATTTAACATTAATGGGCCTTTGATGTATGAAACAGTAGGAGCACCCTTAGATGAAAATTCAGCTTCTCTGCTGTTGCCCATTTTGAAGTACCTGCCACTGCTGCTTACATGCTGTGCATATCCACTAGAGCAATGCTTCTTGACCACTGATTTGATTGCTTTCATTCTTTCCACAGTTTCTTACACTTTTTTTTAAACTTTAGAGAATTCACAGGTGTACTACTGTGAATTTAACTCTATACTTTCCACTTCAGATCAAAACCATGTTATGAAAGCCACTGCAGATGCAGTTCCTGTCCTAGAGGACTTAGTGTTAAGAATAAAAGCCATAAGTAGGGGGATTGTGATTGGGCATTTGGTTTGATCGCATGCTGTAATCTGTTGTCACAGACCTGGGCAAAGTGTGCACTCTTGAGGAAGCCAGATATCTTCAGTGGTTTCAACAAAGTGGAAAAAAACCTTCTTCAAATCTGCCACATTGTTATTCTATGCTATTGTTCATTATGGTAGAAATATAACTCTTGCTAATTAATATGGGTACTAGCAATTAAATTAATGTCTTAAAATGCCCAGCTTCACATAACATTTGATAATGGCTGTTTCTGCAGGGGATACTTTCTTGTGTGTATATATTTTCCTAAGATGATTATGACATGATTTCCTTTGTTCCAGAGCACTGAATTCTTCATGGGCTTGACCACAACCTTAGCCTCCTAATGAGATTGGCAGTGGCAGAAGGGGAGGAGGGAATGAAAGATAAAACAGTCAGCAAGCTGACCAACTTGGAAAATAAAACTGAGAGGATCACATCCCCAGATTATTGGATAACCAGCTAATTTCAGTTTTTATTAAGGCCCATTTGATCTATGAGTCAAGATATATTTTTGATATTGGTATTTTATTATTCGTAAAATAGCCCAAGTATTTCTCCATTACTTCTCCACTGTTACAGTGAGGTTTAAAGCAGCAGAACATTAGATATTGTGTGTACCAATGCATTTAGAATCTGCTGGTAATTTTTGTTAGGTCAGAATCCAGATGGGTACCTGCTACTGAATCGTATTTGAACTGATAAAACAGAGGTTTATATAAGTGGTCACTGCAGAAGAGGGTACATATTCAAGCAGATCTTGGTGTCCCCCTCTCAGTTGTTTCAGCAGTTGCCCATCAAAATATTATTTTAGTTCTGAATAAAATGAGATTCCTCTCCTCTCTTCAACACACAAAAGGAAGCAGAGAGTTAAGGATAAAATACGGTTTCACTTGAAAAATCAGCTTACAGGTAAACCATCTATAACTACAAATCCTGCTTTGTAATATCTTTGAATTTCTCACTAACTGTTGATGGTGTAGATTCAGCATGACTTTTGTGTGTTTACTTCAGGAACTCCACTAACATTAGAAAACAAAGCTGCTTTTCAAGCCAAGTTCTCATCTGACTTTGTTGGACTGTCACATAGCTTACAGGTCAGAAGATAGTTTGCCAAATTTGAACTGAAATTGTGGAAGAAGATCAAATGGAAACCTAGAGAGTAGATTTTCTTTTCAGTGTGACTTTTTAGCCTGGACTACCATTATAAGGCGGGCTGAAGTTACTTGTTGCTGGACTTTTCCCCGATGGACCAAATGATCCATGTTCTGGGGTTTATGCCAGTATTTTTCTATGAATCAAACTGGAATTCTGACTATAGAGAAGTCGATTCACATCTGCATTTGAGTTCTTCAGCTTGTATTGTTTCCCCCTCCCTTTCCAATTGTATTCTGTCATACGCTGTGTTGTGCCTTCCAGTTGACTGCCATGTGGAGCCGATCCTAGTTAAATTTCGTATTTCTTTGGAAATGGGGCCAGCTGCTGTGGCATCCACTGTGAGCAACTTGGCAGTCAGAGTGCCCAGCTAGAAGTAGTTATAATAGCTTTCCATGGACCACATTTTAAATATTTTGTATTGTTTCTCTTCTAAATGGCATCACAAGTAGGCACAGAGTACAAAAGATTATGCTAATACTTGCAGTTATAACCTCCTGGCACTGCTAGTATTGTTCTCCTTAGAGACCTGTCCTGAGAGATGAACTGCACAACTGGAGTCTCTGCTGTCCTGTTCAAAGCAGGTTTCAGCTGCTGCTGCTGCGAATGCTATTTATTTTGGGAAGAAAGGACCCATTTTATTTATTTATTTGCTAGATTTATCTGACAGAGAGGCCTCTCTTGATTTAGACCACACAGATGAATCCACAGAGATAGTGGCATTTCTCAGAATTGCACAGCTGTCACCTGAGGAAACTGTTGGAAAGCAAAACCCATCCTTCTGAAGTGTCTGCTTTTTATAAGCCAGGATTTTTCTGAATGCTTTCTTATGCCTTCACTTGCCCAAGTTTTCCTTCTCTGTGCTCGCTCTTGCACTACCGTAACCAAAAGCACAACTTTCATCAACTTCACCGAATGTGAAGATCGGGCCAGTGAAACCCCTGTTGTTACGGGCTGCAGCTTGCACACAGTAATTGGTCTGTGTGGGAGAAACTGTTGAACCAAGCAATGGGCTCAGTCCTTTTAATCTCAGCCACGGTGTTGGTAGACAAAGAGACAGAAGCATAAGACACACCAGCCTGCGATCTCATTTCATTTGTAACTCCAGAGTGGGGAATGCCGAAAGGATTGCAATGAGGGTAGGTTTCTAGTAGCAGTAATCAGCATGTCACTGGTTTTGTGTCTGGCATCTTCTTGGCTGCTCTGTAGGTTCCACTTTTTGTACAGTTCCTAGAATGCTGTGAAGCTATTTATAGGTGAGAGAGTGTGAATTTTCTGCTGCAGTATTACCATTTATTTTTTGGGTTTGTCTTTATCTGATTTTCTGTGCCACAAATGCCTGCATTGCCCTATCTAGGAATGCTTTATGGTAAAAGCAGCCAATTCTTGCTCTGCTTAGTTATGTTTTTCTATAAAAGTGTATTTAGTATGCTGTAAAAATCTCTAAGCTGATGAAAATGGTCTCTTTCATTGCCTGGTTTGTAAATGCCACAGCAGGCCTGATACACATTCCTTGAGCAGACTGCAGAGGAAAAGCTCAGCACAATTTGCATCACAAGATCAATGTCACCCCCTTATTCCCCTGCAATCTCACTACATGCTGATAAGTAGCACAAAGTCTATGACTATAGGTAACTACAGGCAGGGTCTCGAAGAAAGGGATGGAAGGCATGGGCAGAATTGCTGGCTGCTGTAAAGAGGATAGGAGTAAGATGTGATGATGACCAACTTGAGGCCAGGACAGGCTGAAGGGAAGGAGGTAATGGCGAGCGCCTATTTTTTAAGTGAGGGTTGGCAGCAGGAAATTTGGGAATAGCAGTGCTAATAGAGATGGCATAGCCTTCTGTTTATTTCAAATCCGGGATGTGCTCAACAGCTGCTTTTCCAAAACTAGATTCTTTTGCCTCTGCTGAGCTGCAGAGTGTTTGGTTGGTTTTTGAAAAGACTGGGACATGGTTTCTCTTTTGAGACAGGTCCATTTTATTCTTGGGTATTCCTGTTGGGTGAGCATCAGATTATCCTTCAGAATGTGTGCTGGTATTTGTGGAAGTAAAAACTGTGCTGGATCCAAGCACCTCTTCCTGCAGTCATAGAAGAGGGTGACATTTG